CACTTCTTCATTTCTCACATAATCGGTCCAACTGATCTTCTCAATCCTTCTTCAACACCACATTTCGAAGCTTCCAGGTGTTTCTGATCTACTGCCCTAAGTGTCCAAGTTTCAGCCCCATACAAAGCCATGCTCCATGCCATGCTTCACTACTTTCTTCCTCAAAGTTAAGTCCATCCAGTCACTATATAGACTAGGTTGCTAACTTCAGGGAGCTGAGCCTTCTTGAGAAACCGCCAGTTATGCAGCTACTCAAGAACTTCCCAGCATTATAATGTTCACAAGAGCCCTCCACTGGTCCCTAACCTGTGAAAGATCAATCCACTCCATACCACCCCATCCTATCTAAGATCTATTATAACACTATCCACCCACCCACGTCTTGGTCTGCCTAGTGGTCTCTTAAAGTTTGCGCCATATCCTTAACATCGGATATAATGGTTATACGGACATGGCTCAAGTAGCGGCAGGGCAATGCAAGCCACAAGAACCTCATCTGTGAAATCACGGTGTGCTTCTTGAAGGTGAGGTTGGCAATGCAGTAGGGGGATCTTTTGAAGAGCCAATACATGTTGCTTTTCTTACCCTTTTGGAGCGTATGGTTTTAGGCTACGCTCAACTGCAGTAGAGAAGAATTCTCAACGAAGGTAAACGTGAACTACTGTATAAGGTGAGCCACACCAGAAGTCTGCGGTTCGAGCCTCACATACCCACTGGCGTCCTGCTGCCCTCAGTGGCGGACCGATGAACGCCACCTGTAACAAAAGTGTTTCTTAAAAGTAAGGGGAAACATTACCAGCTTCGGATGGATTCAGGATCGCAGCAGAGGTTTCTATTCGTAGTCTGTAAATTGTATAAAGAACCTGATGCGAAAGTTATTGACGTGGAGTCGAGACTGGGTAGGGCGGGACATCTAGCCAGAAAGGATGATGATGAACCGGCAAAATATTTGCCTTTGACAGGCAGGAAGGAAGATGAGGTCAAGGCTGATCAAACTCAGTACTGGGAAGAAAAAAAAATCCAGACGCACTAAAGATCAATAACTGGAGGCGGAAGGCGTTGGAGAGGGAGTTCTGGGAACGGTTGAGAGAAAAGGAGGCCAACACCAAAATCGGAATTATAGAGCCAGGAAGAGAGAGAAATGAAACAACTGAAAATTTTAGCTTGAGGACCACCATCATGCAGTACCCTCTGGTCTACAGTCTACAGTCTACATTTTAGTCATACAAACTACAGTTTTTTTTTTCAAACTGTCTGCATAAAACATAACTGCGGGTGCATTGCACTGCGAATAGGTGACCTTACAAAAGAAGTGTCCTGTGTGTTCAATGAGGTCTCTGAGGGATAATCGTTCATAGCAGTTTCTCTAACTGTCGATCGTGATCCCACATGGGTAGCGAAATCTTTAAGAATTATTTAAAATACACTTGTACCCAGGCACACTCTGGCGAAGTTAGTTAATGTAACATGTGTAGCTAGGCAACAGCTCGGTAAACGAACTTGCTAAGTAACACAGGCAACTACAGACTTCGGCTACTATGGTTTTGATACATGCAGTGTAACTTTAACTGACTGAAAGCCAATATCCACGGCAACGAACCGTTCAGAGCACAGTAACGGCTAAGAAAGCAATAACTCTACTGCTGAAAGAGGTGTCTTCTACACGGTTCGACGAAATATCATAACAGGAGCGTTTGCCAGACGAATTAATCCCGTCTGGAGGCGGGCAGATCCCGGCCCTCAAGTGGGATTTGTGGTGGACACAGTGGTGCTGGGCGGGTTTTCTCCGAGTACTTCGGTTTCCCCTGTCAATCTTCATTCCACCAAATTCTCCATCATCATAATCACCCGGGGCAGGTACAATAGGCCAATCAGTGGCCGCCGTGCCGAGTGGACCCAGCTGGACTCCACCCCCCACTAAACGAAAAAAAAAGTAAGTCAAGTTAGACTGTCCGATATATCTATTCATCTAATCAGAACCCATTAATTATCAGTCACGTAACCAGGTTACGTGACATTAAGATTTTCTACAGGTGTTTTCGGAAAAGACAACTGTAGCCGGGGTAACATCTTGCGAATATTTTCGTGACCATAGAGGGACATTGCATAGCTTACTGTAGATATACCTACCTACCACACGGCGCTACAGCCCTGGGTGAACCTTGGCCTCCTCTACAATCAGTTTCCACTTAATGTAGATGTAGAGAGGACATAAAACTATCTTGGTTTCTGCTATCACCGCACAGTCTCAGAGCGACATTAAGCAATGTGAAAAACTGTAATTTTTGCTAACTCCGCAAATTTATGTATTATTTTAGGGGGGGGGGTGGTCGCAGTGTTCCATCATCTGAGAACTTCTGGTTTATAGGTTCCACAGTCCAACACCACATTTCATGAAATTAGT